TTCTCAGCAAAAGATACAATAAGAGAGGTAAATAGGGAGCCTACACCCTGGGAACAAATCTTTACTCCTCACACTTCAGATAGAGCCCTAATATCCAGAATATACAAAGAACTCAAAAAATTAGACAATAAGAGAACAAACAACCCAATCAACAAATGGGCCAAGGACCTGAACAGACACTTCTCAGAGGAGGACATACAGTCAATCAACAAGTACATGAAAAAATGCTCAACATCTCTAGCTGTCAGAGAAATGCAAATCAAAACCACCCTAAGATACCATCTCACTCCAGTAAGATTGGCAGCCATTAGGAAGTCAAACAACAACAAGTGCTGGCGAGGATGTGGGGAAAAGGGTACACTTGTACATTGCTGGTGGGACTGCAGATTGGTGCAGCCAATTTGGAAAGCAGTATGGAGATTTCTTGGAAAGCTGGGAATGGAGCCACCATTTGACCCAGCTATTCCCCTTCTTGGTCTATTCCCTAAAGACCTAAAAAGAGCATGCTACAGGGACACTGCTACATCGATGTTCATAGCAGCACAGTTCACAATAGCAAGACTGTGGAACCAACCTAGATGCCCTTCAATAGACGAATGGATAAAAAAATGTGGCATTTATACACAATGGAGTATTACTCTGCATTAAAAAATGACAAAATCATAGAATTTACAGGGAAATGGATGGCATTAGAGCAGATTATGCTAAGTGAAGCTAGCCAATCCCTAAAAAACAAATGCCAAATGTCTTCTTTGATATAAGGAGAGTAACTAAGATCAGAGTAGGGACGAAGAGCAGGAGAAGAAGATTAACATTTAACAGGGATGAGAGGTGGGAGGGAAAGGGAGAGAGAAGGGAAATTGCATGGTAATGGAAGGAGAGCCTCAGGGTTATACAGTGGAGGGGGTAGAGAGAGAGGAGGGGAGGGGAGGGGAGAGGTGGGGAGGGGGAGGGTGGAGGATGGGAAAGGCAGCGGAGCACAACAGACACTAGTATGGCAATTTGTAAATCAATGGATGTGTAACTGATGTGATTCTGCAATCTGTGTATGGGGTGAAGGTGGGAGTTCATAACCCACTTGAATCAAAGTGTGGAATATGATATGTCAAGAAATTTGTAATGTTTTGAACAACCCACAATAAAAAATTAAAAATAAAAAAAAAAGAATTATGTAGCAACGCAAGCAGAGTCTCCGTTTCCTCTGGATTCCAATCAGTAAAACTATCATCTCATATTAGCTTCATAACAGGATCTACCTCACCGAGCTGTTGGGCGCAACTTGGTGAGATGCTGCCCAAAAAGTTTTTTTTTTTTTTTTTTTTTGGTACCAGGGCTTGAACTCAGGGGCACTCGAACACTGAGCCACATCCCCAGCCCTATTTTTTTTTTTTTTTTTTTTTTAAGAGATAGGGTCTGAGTTGTTTATCGCCTCACTTTGCTGAGGCTGGCTTTGAACTCACGATCCTCCTGCTTCAGCCTCCTGAGCTGCAGGGATTATAGGCGTGCACCACCACGCCCAGCTTGCCTGTAAAATTCTAAGGAATGCCAATCTTAGTTATTTATTTGGTACAGATTTACAGGGCTCTTTCTAGGTGGTAGGCACCAAGTCCTTTGTAAATATTAACTCATTTGATCACAAAAATCCTGTGTAGCAGCTGTGACTTATCCCCTTTTTATAGCGCTCAGGCACAGAGAGCTTAAGCAGCTAACTCAGGGTCTCACAGTTATCAAGTGATGGGGAAGGAAAAACAGCCATTCGCCTCCCAGAATCTATGTTCCTATCCATTGCCCCAAACAGCCTCTTAGCTACTATGATATTTGGCCAAGGAATCTAGCCACGTTAATCTATTTGGCCAAGGAATCTAGCCACGTTAATCTACTTGGCCAAGGAATCTAGCCACGTTAATATATTTGGCCAAGGAATCTAGCCACGTTAATATATTTGGCCAAGGAATCTAGCCACGTTAATATTGGGATTAGTCTTCCCACCAATCCTAATGCTTATTGTACATAATAAATAGATCAAGGTGTCAAGGAAGCTGCAAATGCACTGGACATCAAAGGCAGCACCAGATGGAGCAGGCACAGCAGCATATTCATGTTTTCTGGCTTTTGAAACCTCAGGACCTCCTAACTCCTCGAGCTTGACCATTTAGCCCACTGCCTTTGGCCATTATTGGTTGAGTTACACTGTGGGCCTGTTTGTAACATTGGACAGTATGTTTATTTAAGTCAGGACTTAATTCCATACTGTTTTATGTTCCTCATTTCCCAGACCACTGTGGGGCACAGGAGGTGCTCCATAAACACTTCCAGAATCATGATTCACTCTTCCCTAATGGTTCACCAGAGGAAAGGTTGTTTAAAGAGATCCCTTGCTCCCCAGTGACCACCATGGAACCTGCAGTGTCCAGACTGGCCCCTCATTCTCAGGTCTCCTTCCCCTGGGACTCCGTAGCCATCCCAAACTGTCCCTGCAGCTGGGATACAAATAGCTTAAAAAAAAAAAACAAAACCCAAACCCCAGGCTGGTTGGATCTAGTTTTTCACAGTGCTGGAACAGAACCAAAACTGATCCAAAAGTTCAACAGATATTTTATCTATTCCCCCGAGTCCCTTTTCTCACCAAATCACCCGTTTCCTTCCCATACCACAGGAAAAAAAAATGAAAGGGTAGAGGTACTGGGGTCTGCATCGCATTAATAAAAACAAACTTCATTGAAAAATAAGACAATCAAGAAACCTCAAAAAGCAGATACATATCCTAGTACATGATTGGAGAGCAAGCAGCCTTTCAAAACACACTCAAGTCAACCGCACCACTTTTCTCCCACACCAAACCTCACTTTAATATTACTTCCTGTGTTTTAGAAAATAATCTATCATCCACGCCTACAGGCTATGGTTTAGTCCTTCACCTTTAGAAAACGGCAGGCCTTTTAAGTCCCTTGTGTTCTGTAGGTAGGTTGCCACCTCCCCTGTCCTTTACAATTTATTGTTGAAGGCCCCAGGGCATTTGACCTGCAGCATCCCACATGTGGAATTAGGCTGACTGCACACTCAGTGGTGCAATTCAACAGGTGTCATCACTTCATACTTCGGGGCTGGCCACAGACCAGGACACCTGGTACCACTTCTTGGCCAATGTTTATTTGGGCAGTTGTCCCAATTTCTTTTGTGAACAAAAACCGATGGCATTTGCAGCAGCCAGCTGATATGAAAAATCAACTGATGGTACGAACACCAGCACAGGAATAGAAGTGAGAAGACCTAGGTGTGAGGTTTGGCCTCTCGGGCACTTACTTCACCCCCGAGAATGCAAGTACCTTTCTCACAGGGTTACAGAAATAATGACATGAGATTCTGGATGTAAAACTGCTCTTTATAAACTATATAATGCAACACATTCTAATAGGTACCTTAAAAATGAATTGCTCCTCATAATGTTCCTCAAGGGTCTGCATCCAGTTTCTCAGAACTGTCACCATGCATATGTAGGGAGACTTTGGAGGAGGAAGGCCTCTTGCCAGCCAGCCCACCCAACCGCATGGGTGTACTGCAGATCAGACAGCCTGGTGGATTATATACAGCATGCAGCAGGGTCTTTGGGGGTGGCAGGTATCATGACACACATTTTCAATTTCTTTTTAATAGCTCTTCTTTCATTGATTACAATACACTGTAAAGAGGTGAAAGGAAAGCCAAACTTTGCCCCTGAATTTCTGAACTGGTGATATTTAACTCTGCTGTTCTATTGGGAAGAACTGCCCTACAGCCCATGGATTATTTCCAGGGAAGGAAAGTGAAGGTGGCTTTGTGCCTTACAAGGTAAGCCTGGGACACTGATAACTGCCTCCATCCTCCAGCCTACAAAATGCGTCTGTAACTATTCCACACACTCTTGTAAGTCCCCTTGATGAATACCAGTGTCAATGTAAACTCCACCCAGGGATCTCTGTGGCATTTAGTTATTCACCTGGGTCCACACTGGCACACACAAGGTGAACTGCCTGATCTCCCTATCAGATCACAAGCTCCTCGGGGGTCGGAGCTATGTCTTGTTTATGATTATACAACACATATATATATGAGTACCTTTGCTAAGGTCAACGACGTCTTCAGCAACAATGTTTAAGAGACCGTAAAGCGACTTAGTCTGTTGATTCGCTTGTTTAACTGGTAGCTGTGGTTCTCATTAGTGGCTGGTTGCAAGTTTGTCGAACATGGAAAAAAGATTTTCTCATGATTGCCCTTTTGCCCTTTAGGAGAACTGGTTGCCAAAGTTAAATAGATTATACACACCTCTTTGATCTACTAAGAGCCTTGAGTGGAAGCAATTAAACAGAACAGTTTATGTTTTAGCAGCTTAAAAGCAATTTGAGTTGCTGACACACCAGCACGCTGATCTCAGGTATAATTAGTACTCCCTAGGTCAGGACAGGTGTGCAAGATGTCAAATCACCAGATCTGCCACGGGGACCTACTCATAGCGTGACACTGCTGGAGACCTGGTATCCTGTCCAGCATTCAGGGAGCCCTTCATAAAGTCAGTCTTCATGCCTGGTGACACGAGGTCCCAAAGGCCTGCTTCCATAGGTGCAAGGAGCTGGATGAAGGGCAGGACATACTTTTTCAAAAGTGAAAAACCTCTGCAGAAGGTCGTCAGTTGACAGAACTTTAGAGAAATATTGCTGAAGCACACATAAGATACAACGACCCAGGGCTACCCCAGGCCGAGTCCAGACATTCCTTTTTAGAAGTGCCACAGCTTTGCCATGCCCACGGACCTTGCCAGTGTCTAATCACCTCCTTGATTCTTCACCTCGGGTTGCATTGTTCCCTTGGTGGCTTCAGTGGGACCATTCCGAGTCCACAGCCAGCTGGCATCCACCACAGAGAACGTGCAGCGCGGGTGATCTGCTTTCTCATTGACCCCAGGCCCCCACACCTCACCTGGCCAGCCCTCCTCTCCCCCAGACGGCCCCCGCCTGCCCTCGTACCTTTTGCTTCAGTTGCAGCACCGTCTGCTTCATCTGGTGGAACTCCTTGCACGAGGCACAGCAAGTTTCGGCGTTCACGGCATTCTCAGACTTCTCCTCGTGCCCTGGGAAAGAGGATGGGCTCAGTTCCATACGGAAGGTCAGGAGACCCAAGGTGCAGGGTAACTGCTGCAGGAAGGCAGTCCCCGGTTGGGCAGGTTGTGGGGGGAGGTCACAGAGCAGCCTACAGTGGAACATGTGAAGGGTAAATGCCGACAATTATACACTTCTCAGGTCCCTGCCATCCAGGTTGAAGACAGGAAGGGGTGACAGAGCCGTGCTGCCCTTTGGCTCAACTCTTCCTAGTCAGGCATCCGAAATATGTGGAGAAGTGCACTGTGGCCCTTTGATTATCTACACCTTTCGTGTTTGAAATGGCACTTTATCAGTGCCTTTCCTGGAGGCGGGTTCTGTAAATTTGACATGATTTACAACGTCCACAGAGGGCCAGTGTTCACAGGCTGCCAATATCCCCCAGCTCAGGCCATGGGACTCCAAGCTGGCATTCATCACCCCAGGCCACCTGGGTCTTCAGAGAAGCTCTGCAGGCCAAGTGGCGCCTAACAAGTAGAGACAGGAAAGAGAACTCCGCCAAAGAGGGGAGTCAGACAAGCATGGCCAGAATGTGGACCCGACTGTCCCGGTTCCAATGGAGTGGATGATCGGAGTGGGAGGATGGAGGTCACTCAACCATCGTTTGGTATCAACAAGCCTAATGGACCTGGAGCCTGGATCATCTCTTCATGCAGAACTCCACCAGCCTCCACAACCAAAGGTGACTGAGGCTTCAGGGCTTCCCAAGGACACAATGTATACAATCCCCTCCATCTGTCTTACCTTCCCTCTACCTATACCTCATCCATCCATCCTTCAGCCATTTATCTGTTCATCCAGCTGCCATTCATTCTACCTTCCTTTCCTCCCATCCTTCTGTGGAGCATCTGCTATTAGGCCCTGAATGGGGTGATACAAATGCGAAGTAAACGAAGACACCTGTTCAACGACTTATGATTGAAGCCAGCCCTGTTGGCAGAGCTAGGCCGTCAATAACAAATTAGAAGTCTTTGTTTCTATTTTCACATGCCCAGTTGAGTTTTCTGAGTGTAATTGGGCAACTAAACAAGTTCAAGATAGATTGTAGGGCCTGGTGAAGAGGTTTATCCTATTTCATTTGGATCATGGGTATTAGAACTGGCCCTTGGGAGGGTGAGGCGGGCATGAAGCAAGACTGCTACTAGAAGTTCCACTGAAAACACTTGGGAGCTATCTGCCAGGCAGGTTCCACCGAGGAAGCTCTGCTGGGCAATCTTTTCCATGGAAAGGCCTGGGCCGTTTTCTCTTCCTTTGTAGAATTACCAGAAGATGGAGAATCAAGATTAACATTTATCCAAAAGACTCAAAACTCCTATTGACATTGAAGCACAGGGGCGAGTGGTGTAGGGGCTGGCCGACTTGGACAAGATTCAAATCTTAGTGCTGTAACTGAGTACCTTTTAGGTTAGGTAAGTCAGCGTCTCTGGACTCTGTTCCCTGAGTGGTAGAATGGCAATAGCACCTGTTGTCTGGGGCCGACATGAGAAGTCAATGATATCGGACACGTAGGAAACAGAACACTGCCTTGCCCACAGCAGGTGCTCCAAATGTACCCTTGCTGTTGGTTTTATTGTTTCCCTATCAAGTTAGAGAACATGTGGTAGGGCCCTTGATAGCCTCTTCCTGTATGTTTTCAGCCCTCTCAGTGATGTAGTCATGCGTCTCAGAGAAAGGGCTTCTGCCATTAAATTTTGCTCCAAGTTCTTCATATTTTAAAGGAGCGATATAATGGATCAACCACACGGGGGCGCAGAGCTCTAAATTTTACCCTCATTGAGCAGGTTGTACACCCTGAGCATTAGAAATATAATGCCTCACAAATGATAGTAGCAATACCCAATACATCTTGGAAAGCCAAAGAATATTCCCAGAATCTTCCAAGTGGGCAGTGCCACAAGTGAACAAAGCACATTCATTTGTAAGTTGTGCCCCTTTGTGTTACGGTGGTAGTGCCCAGCCCTGGCAGTACATTATAGTCACCTGGGTGTGGGGTGAAAAAATCCTGCAGAATCTGGGCACCCCAACCACCTGGAGTGGTAGCAAAACAACAGTATCAGTGTTTTAATGCTCCCCAGGTGATTCCAAGGCCGAGAACCACTCATCTATGGATTAGCAGAGCTTGAAAGTTACATGAAACACCTGGCTGTCTCTGACACTTTGAACTTTAATAAGTGACGCCGAAGGTCATGGTCATGTTATCAGAAAATAAACAAAAGCTGAAAAATAAAGACTAGTAACCTAATTACTATGGAGCCAACATTTCCTTAATTTGTCTCCCAAATGGTGCTACACCGACTCCCTGGGGTGACTAAACTGGCTCCAGCTCAGTATTTTCAAAGAGAAAAATCAAAGTGATTGAATGCCTGTCAGCCAGATGGCTTGTGTCACCAAGCCTGTGACAACCTTTCAATCATCAGAGGCCATATGAGGGCCATGTTCCCTTCTACTTTCTGCCTGTTTGATTTTAAATTCTTGACTAACATTACAGACACTGGACAACAAAGTTAAAACAGGAGGAAGAGGAGGCGACTTTAGACCCAATGTGTTTAAACACAACATTCTCTTTATCAAAAAAGGTGATGAAATGCCGGGGCTTATTAGTCCAGAGCAGATGAAACTGCTTAGCTGCCTCTGCTCTTCCAGGAGGTACGGCTCTTTGGACCCGTAACATTTCTTACTGCTGAGATGAATGTTTGCATGTTCAGTTCCTCATCTTTTTAAAAAATATTTTCAAGTTGTAGATGGACACAATACCTTTATTTATCTTTATGTGTTGCTGAGGATCGAAACCAGTGCCTCACCCATGCTAGGCGAGTACTCTACCACTGAGCCACAACCCCAGCCCACAGTCGCTCATCTTCTAAGATACTGAAAGGAAAGTTCTCTGCTTAAAAGGCATTGAAGGTGGGCAGGTTTTCAAGCATCAGTACTTGTTCAGAGGACCAAGGAATGAAGACTGCCAGGGACTCCCCGAGTTGGTAGGGGCTACTACTACTTACACCATATGACAACCAGTTTTGAAGATTTAAGAGGGTGAAAGGTCCTCAGGACTCACGGAATTCAACACACCCATCTACAAATGAGCAAACCAAGGCTCCGAGACTGCCAGCCTCATTCAACTAGTGAAGACTGAACCAGCCCTGTTACTCTCTCCCCTAACTTCCACATCAAGGAACGTCCCCTGGCTCCACAGCTGTCCAATGTGATGACTTTAGGGCACTTTTCCTTCCTTCTGCGGGAACCCATTAGTGCCAGCCCCAGGTCCTCACTGGCCCAACCACTCCAGTCAGGACTGGAGCATTCAGGGCACACAATGTACCTGTTGTAATCCTTGGTTATTACTTAACTACATAGGAATGACTCCTCAGTCCCCACCCCAAAGACTCCTGGCCACTGGTGTTGGAATGCTTCTCTTAGCACAATATAAGACTGTATGCTAGTTTTCTATGTGTTTGTGGTGAGTTCAGTGGGGATTAATTACTGCAAATTGAATACTGAGAGATTACTTCGTAAGGCTGCTGCTGGGGAAGTGTGATGTAGCAGATGGTGGCATCCTAACAGGGGCTTTTGCTTTTGTTCTAATTATTTGAAGTTGCTATATTTGGATGAGGAGTGGGGGAAGAGAAGGGGAAGAGTCCCTGCTCTAATCTCTGATAAGCTTTGTGTTAAAATAAGGCCCAAAGGCTGAACCACCAGACAATTCTTACAAGATTAAGCATGAGAACATTTTCCATTTACAGCACTGGAAGAGGAACCCAGTGTCTCTCCACATGGTGGAATGAAGCAGCGCTGTGCTGTTCTCACTCACTGATGCTGGACACTCCACAATAAGTCACCTCCCCCCTGGACTTGGGCTGCTCCATGTGTTGGTAACACCCACCCTTGGCTGAGAGTCCACCAGATGGCCTATCAAGTTTGGCCCCATAGCCAAGATTTCTGACATTAAATGTTTCCCAAACCATGTTTCTTAGGACATCACTACCTGTGAGACATTAAGATTTCTTAAATAATTTTGCAAAATGTAGTTTTAATCGAAATTAACTTTGAATTTGAATTGTGAGCGGATGCGGTAGTACATGCTTTCCCAAACATCCGAGCATAAGACCTGAAGACAGGCTTCACACCACCACACAGGACCCCCGAGTTTGAACACAATATGGGGGAATGCTGCAACGTATTATTGAGATAAAATACATCTTTAAAAACCAAGGAAGGTGGGAAAAAAGTTGCAAATATGTGTTTCTTTTTTTGGAGGGCAGGTACTGGGGATTGAACTCAGGGGCACTCGACCACTGAGCCACATCCTCAGCCCTATTTTGTATTTTATTTAGAGACAGGGTCTCACCGAGTTGCTTAGCACTTCACTGTTGCTGAGGCTGGCTTTGAACTTGTGATCCTCCTGCCTCAGCCTCCCAGGCTGCTGGCATTACATGCATGTGTCACCATGCTGGCTATATACATTTCTTAATACTGCTACTCAGACTTTTCACTCAATTCAGCCATGGAAGTCAAACTGGTTGTCACTCAAATAAAACTGACTTGTTTTGAAACTCTTATTTGCAAACTTTTATAAGAAGATCACCACCCTTGACAGGGAATCAACCAGGTTAGTGAAGCCCCAGTAGTGACTCAATACAGTAATGACTAATTTCAAAGATGTCATGAGATGGCCCCACCCTTGCTGAAGGTGGGGGCCCAGGTGAGCACCTCTCACCAAGGCTGACCTCGTCACTGCACTCTGACCCAGAGCCATCCCTTCGGACTGAAGGGCAATGTAGCTGCAGGAGGTGAGAAGTTACTGCAGGAGGTCGACGTCACCCAAGACGAAAGCAACTCAACTCGGCTTATAAAATATTACCTGTTGTCTAACTCCCACCTGGACTCTGGTCCCAGCTAATTGTGGTCCATGTTACTGCCGACCACTCCATCCCACCAGACTGGGACTCCTCATAGAGGGGAGATCCTATTACTTTTACAGCCAGATCATGGACTCCTGCCCTGACACTCGGCAGCAAGTGTCTGTTGTTCTGTGTCTGGTCGGGTTGCTGCAGGCTTCCTTCATGCCCCTATAAAGCGGATTCTTTCTACATAGAAATGTGAGGCAGAGACAATACACTTGCCAGGTTGAGCAGCCTGCAGCCCAACAGCTCAAGAGCTGCCTGGCTCAGAGCACAGCTGGAAACCCAATTCTAAAATGAAAAATTGCAAAGCTGCTTTCTTGTGACCTATTCTCTACAAGGTCCACACATTACAGTGGATAAAAAGCTGCACCCCATTTTCCCATGAGATTCTTCCCAATAAAGGACATAATTTATAGTCAAGTCACACATCCCTGGCTCCTCCTACCACAAATTGCAGCGATTTTAATTTTGAATACAAGAACAGTCTATAAATGTTTTTAACTTCATTAACCTGTCTGCCCTTGCTTGAGGGCCATGCTCATTTACATGATTCCCAATTGCCCAGAGCCAAGGTGGCTCCAAATAGCTTTTTTCATCGATTTCCAACACATGGTGGCTTCCTCACGACTCAACCCAGTTGCTCCTCTGCATTTCATTTCGCTTTGTAGATTTTCCTCGGGAGGCAGCTGGTCCCCAGCTGTCCGTCTTCCCACCCCTTTCTGAAGCTGGGCTCTCATGAGCGCCCGGATGGTTGTGGCTTTTTGATGTCCCTCATTTCTTCATGCACGTGACCTGCCCAGGGCACCTCTGCCCCTCCCAGGGATGGCCCAGGCCCAGCTAACCCCCTCACAGCACTCCAGCAACTTTCTCTTTCCCAGGGAAGTAGACAGGAGCCGAGCCCTGAGCCCAGGGAGGTCTGGCCCCGGGCCCTCTGAGTGACCCTGGACTTTCTCCACAGGGAACCTGTCCAGTCAACCGTGGTCAGTGGAGAACAGTTTGCTTTAAAGTTCATCCTGACTGGAAGACCCGGGACACTCCTCCATACAGGCTGAAATCCTAAACTCTAATGACGGGCACTTGTAATTTGGCAGAGATCCCAGAGTTTAGATGTGAACGTGATGATATTTTGCCCACCAAGGCATTCCCTGAAGCACCCACAGCAGCTTTGGGGGTTCTTTTCCCTTCTCCTCTTTCTTATTTTTTCCTCCAAACTTAAATAAAGATATAACCCAACAGACCAGGCTGATCTTATGCCTAGGTGATGGAACATCTCAGTTGAGGTACCTATATTATCATCATACAAAACATGTACAATGTAGTCGGTACTATGTAGCTGTATGTAAATCAGCTTAACTGTGTTGGACAACCAGCTGTTAGAGATTTTTCTGATCGTGAACTGATAATTTTGCAAAATGAATTGCTTGAAATTGGATATAGGGCTGGGGTTGTGGCTCAGTGATAGAGCACTTGCCTAGTACGTGTGAGGCGCTGGGTTCGATCATCAGCACTACATAAAAATAAAAGTATTGTGTCCACCTACAACTAAAAATATATTAAAAAAATCAGCTATAATGTAACACAAACAAATGCTTGGATTCAAATAAAATTCCTTTCCAATAGAGTTTTCTAAACACTCAATTTCTATTTCTATCCAATCATGACTCAAAGAACAAATAGTTTGTGGACAGGCACCGGGCACGGATCATGCTTTGAGTAACACTGGTGTGGAGTGGTACCTCATGTGAAAGCGATTTATATTTATATTTCAGTCTGTTTCCTTGGGGAGAATACAGACCTTCTGGTCTCGTCTCTGCTCATTCTTGTTCACTCTTAATACAAAGAATCAAGCGCTGCTGATTTCTTCATGAGCGCACCACCCTCCTCCAACACACCAGCTACCTCCTCCATGCTAATAAGCATCACTGCCCCCTTAATTCCTCCTCTCTAGGAAGAGTCTGAACATATGTCCTCAGACCCCAGGTGCCACCGGGGTCCATGTAAATGTCCCTTCCTGCCCTGTTCCAAGGAACCTGGTTGGGCTCCCAAGTGCCTGTGTATAATTGTTACACATGATACGTATTAAAAGCATATTACATAGATTATGTTATGGCTCACTATATACAACATGAAAATACTACATATTACCTAAAATACAACTATATAATATTGACTATGTTGTACATGTTTTGTATGATATAGGTACTTGAGAATCTTATATAAATGAGATATCTATGGCTACAGTAACACCTGTAACATTATATTATATAAATAATGCATATTACATTATATATAAAGGAAAATAGACAAATATATTCTATAAAAGGTCCACTGGCTGGAGACACTGGGTAGCAGTGGGTGGGAACATGAGATACATGTGTAATAGGCAATATGTTTAAAATATAAACATTACACAAATAATACAATAATCATCTGAAAGTCCCCAAACTGACAACGTGTAATATAAAAATATGCACAGAGGGCAACTCCATGCCTCACTCACCAGTGTCGTTGGGGTACTTGTCCCCCCTGGTGCATGTCTTCCCGTCGTCCTCAAGGACATAGCCCTCCCGGCACTCACAGCGGTAGCTGCCCACAGTGTTGACACAGATGTGGTCGCACAACGTCTTGTTGCTGGTGGCACACTCGTCGATGTCTGGTGTGAACCAAATGCAGAAAACGCTCAGTTTCTGAGAAGTCACTTATGCCACAGATGGCACGAGACTTGTCCCTCATAATACCTGTGCCAAGGACACTATTCCAGACCTTGACCGGACAGAGCCTGGCAGGAGGTTGGGCGGGAGGATGGGCCGTCTGTGGAAGCAGCACTTTAGCCATGTGACTATCATTACAGACCAACCAATGATGGGTTCCTGGCCGTCACGGGACCCGATGGAGGTACGGCTGGCCTTTAGAGAGTTCACCTGGGAAATGATGATAATGAAGCCTGTACCTAAATACTTCCCAGGGCTCCTCAGGAGAGCACTGGGGCCAACACACCCTGATGAGCAGACATTAGCTAAGTGATTTTTTGCAAGCAGTCTAGTGTGCTGAGGTTTTTAAAGTTCTCCTTTATGGCTGGAATTCTACATGTGACACAAGGGCCACTTAGGAATAGCCCCTTCCCAGTTAAGGAACACAATATACTTGGGAAAAGATACTTATGACAAAACAGTCACAGATGTCTAATGAAGAGAGGCTTCCCTACGAAATCTCTGCCTCATCAATGACCCAAGCAGACCCCCATGAGCTGAGGAAATGAGGCATGAGACCATCAAATGAGTAACCGCGGAGGGTCGGCGTCAACTGCCCACACCATGGGGCTTGCGCCCCTGCTGCACTGGGAAGAAACAACACGTTTCCCACCATGAGAAGACGGGCTCAATTCCATTTCCTGTTCACTGGCTAAAGACACCCCGTAGCAGTAGGTGGGAACCAGGACACACAGCCCTTGACCGTGACATGTGGGCAGACAGAGCCCAGCCTTGAACTTTAGGATGCCGGTAATTTTTTAGCCTGGACAAGCAGCCAGGGACTCAGCTCTGGCAGGCTCCCTGGGTGCCAAGAGCGAGCAAGTAATTCGGGTGCTCCTCTGCAGTATACACTGTTGTCATATGTAGCCTGGATGGAGGCGACGGTTGGAGCCACCTCTGCAGTTCCTCAGGCTGACTGCCTCTTTCTCCAGGTGTTCCCACCCTAAATGTCAGAGTGAAGCGGTTGTACTGGCCACAGAGGACACTCTTAGTAGAATGCAAAGTACTGCTGATCCCCAAATGTCTACAGAAAAAGAATTAGGGCACGTAGCTCCCATCAACTGAAAGGAGAGCCCATGGGCCCAGCTGTGTGGAGTGTCCCATGCGCTCTGTAAGAGGCACCCCGAGTCCCTCCTACCCTCCTCCATTTGCTTGTCGGTTTGGGGTACCTTTCCCAGATGCTTTTTGGGAGAAACTAGGGGACCTAAGGCTAGACTTTCCCAGGTGCCCAATGGAGGAGGGAGCCTTGCTCATATCAAATGGCTTATTTCCCACCTGGGTCCATCTGAGGTCTCTACTCTTCTTCCAGTTGATCTGAAACTTCACTGAGCATAGTACTCATTCATGTAAATGCACGTCCCTGGACCCACCCTCAAAGTTGTGGCTCACTATGTCTGGAGGAGGGGCCAGGAACCTTTCAAGCAGGGACCCCAGTTGAGGAGACAGGTTAGTCATGGGCTTGCCACACTCAAACACACAGTTCCAGACCATGAGCCCTAAACCTCCCCAGGAATTCAAGGAGGGCACTAAGAATGCCCAGTCAAGGAGAATGACCAGAGCAAGCTGGTGCCCCTGGTGATGGCCAGGCAACTGCTCAGCTGCAGCCAAGTTTGCCTCTAACCTCCTGCCACACGCACACCTCCGTTTCCCCAGTCACCTCTTGAGAACACTCATTCTTGCTTCTCTGGTTTACATTCCAGACCACTCATTTCCTGTTTTGCATTATTCTATTACATCTGGCCTGGTTCCCCGTCTTTGGCTTTTACATCTCACTGCCAGTTAGGAGCTGGAAAATAACACGCATTGCCAACGCACCCAGGCAGTAGGGCTTCTCCCGCTTCCGGTGTCTCTCGCGGTCATATTGGTATCCTGGATAACAGGTGCACAGCACGCGGCCAAAGTTGTCTGTACACTGCTGTTCACAGGGAGCCTGGGCACAAACATCATAATCTGAAAGAGAAAAAGTATGCACTCACGTCAGCCGCAGGGGTAGACAGGGCAGCCTGGCCTGGAGCTCGCCTTCCGGGCTGCATTCTGCAGGTGTGACCTGTGAGCAGCCACACCTACAGGGGCATTAGCCCTGGAGGCTGTGGTACAGCTTCTGAGAGCACTGTGGTGGCAGAAGGCAAACACCACTCATGCTCTTCTCTGAAGTTGCCTCGTTGTGCCCCTGGGTCTTGGTCACTATCCAGAAGCAAAGATGCTTTAGTCAGCCAGGCTCTGGAGCAGTTCCTGGGGGCCTCTTTGATCTTCAACTGCTATAGGAACAGGGAAGTCCTTCCAACAGGGCATTGATGGGCTTTGGTGCCCAAATGTAAGAGGAAGGGCTGGCTGGCAGACTCAGAAAAATGAGGGCAGCTTTTGGAATAGATATGCGAGAGTCTTCAGAGAGCCTATGCTCGCACAAGTGAGTGTGGTAGGTGTGCACACGATGGTGTGTGTGTATAGAGATTCTGCATGTGAGAGGGGGGTGGGTGAGACTGAATGGCTGCAGATCTCTTGCTGGCCCTATGCCTGTGCATACGAGGGTGAATGCCCAATAATGTGTTAGGAATTGGGGCATCTGCTACTCTCCATTCTTATGAACTGATATTTAATGAGCCTCTGAAGGGCCTCTGGCTCTAAATCGCTCAGTTTTGACATATTCTCCGATCAGTTCCAGCATCTCGTCACTGTCGTCTCCATGTACTAGTCCCAGATGGACCCTCCTGAGACACAGGTGAACCTGGGTCTGCTCTCCTGTATGTGAAGGGAAAGAAGTGAGCTGTCTCTGATGCAGACAGGGTCAACTTTGACAAAGATCATGCCATTCTGGTGATGACCTGGTAAGCTGCCCTTGTTGGACGATACTTCCCACAAGTGGGACTCCAGGTCTGCTTTGCCAGCCTGGGTTCTGACCAAGCCTACAAACTCTCTGGCTAACTTTTCCTCAACCAAGCATCACCTCCAGGCAACCAAAGTTCTGTGTTTCTTTTGCTCAAAAGTCTCAGTGTGACCGGTAATGAGCTGCCCTGTCCTGCCAGCTGTCACCATTACTGGATCAGCCAGGGAGGAGGCAGGAGGCAGAGGGGCCCTCTAAGGCACTGGTTGGCTGTGGTGCCCAATGAGGTCTTGCTTTCAGAAGCAGCCGTTCGCACTCTGCTTGGCTTCTTAGGTGCCACTTAAACTCTTCCAGCTATTTTCATGTTCATCCCCGTAACTCTAAGTATTCAATTTGCATTGCTTCCTTTATTTTAAATGTTGCTTTTACTTTAAAGGTTCCTTATTAACTTCCAGTCACGAGATACACTTAGCATTTTTATTGCACTTCCCCACCCCAGCACTTGGCACTTCTGGTTCCTTCCATCTGGTCAATGGGTTTTGTTGAGATTTTAGTTTGGTCAATCTCCAGTATTTGCCCTGGAGTGACGATATAAAAGCTCTCTGGGCAGAGCCAGGAGGTACACTCCACTGAACTGCCCTTCCCTGGGGAACTGTCTGATGTCCTTAAGGGAAGCGCCTTGTGTGTTTTTGGGGGTCTCAGTCATTGAGCTCATTTAGTTTTAAGTCTGCTCCATCTTCTTCCAACACCTACTTGGTGACGTGAGGCTCTGGAGACAATTCTCCAGCCTGTTGGGTGCTTTCAACAAGGGGTGCTGTGGGGAGGTGTAGGTACAGAGAGAGGCCCACACAAACACATGGAGGCTGGAAGAGGGGCTCTGCACCTTTCTGCCTGTGCTTGTTCCTGAGCCTTATCCCAGTCCCACCCAACTCCATCCAGACCCTTTGGATAGTAGCAGTAAATGCCAGTTTGCAGTTTCTAACACTTGGAGAAGCAGCCTCCCCACAAACATCTTAGGGGCACCCGCACCAGCGATCTGGTGCTCCTTCCCCCAAGTGGGGTTCCCAGATCCATGAGCCACAAACTGAGTTCAGAGAAACAGCACCGGCTGCCCAGTGGCGCCTCCTCCGAGCTTCTATGTCTTAATGGGTCTCCTGCCTCTCCGCTCCCCTAGCTTAGAAGTGGGAGCCACTGTACATGGTTGTTACTTCTGGGAGAGTTTTCCTTTTGACTTTTCAGTTCTCAATGTCTAGTCTTTGGTTCTTTCTATCAAATGTTCTCTGATAAATAATGGAGCCTGTGGATGACAGTTATGATTCATTTCTAGGGACTTCCTGAAGTTTTTAAATCTCTTCAGGTGTTTAAGTATCTGCCCATTTCTGATTGAGGAAGTTTCTTCTAGAACATTCTGTGCTTTCTCCCAGCAGAAATCTCTGTGGCTGCTTCTTGGTGTGTCCATTCCCTATCATCTTGGGGATTCCACCCACACTCTTTTGACCCTATACTTCCTTCTCCTCCCTCATCTTCCTCTTTTCTGGTTTATGCTCTAGTTTTATTGGAGCATATACTCCAGTAGCTTCCCGAGAAAAGTCACGAAAGAGGTAACATTTTTATGCTTATGCGTGTCTAAAAATATATTTTAGTGATTGATAGTTTGGGCATAAAACCGTAAGAGAAGTTCACCTCCACAGTATGCAGACATCGCTGCATCGTTTTCTAATTCAGGCTCACTGCAGCCGAGTCCTATGAGATTCTACTACTAAATCTTTCATATGAATTTCACTTCTTCCCCCTCTGAAATTTTGTTTCCATTGTATTACAATTTCACAATGAGGTTTTCACGTGGGGCTTTGTTATTCTTTGATGGGCCCTTTCTATCTAGAAAATTCTGGAGAATTTCCTTGAATTCCATCTTCAATGACAACTCCTTTTCTCTGTGTAACTTAATTATCTTGAGGTTGTGTTCCCTGGACTGTTCCTCATTTTTCTACTTTTCATTTCTTTGATCTTCTGCTCTAGGTCTTGGGTAATTTCCTTAATCTCACCTTTCAACCCTTTTGCTATTTTCTATGTGTCATGTTTTTGATTTCTAAGAATTCTTCATTCTGTTCCTTTGTATTGACACCCTGTTTTTGTTTGATGCGTTCTGTATCGTTCCTGAAGTCTAAGTGAATTAATTCCAAGTCTCCCTCTGTCCGGGTAGCTCATGCTTTCTCTAAGACTTTCCCTTATGTTAAATCTTTTTGAAGGCTTTCCTCCAACATCTGGTGCTCCTTGGGCGTTGTCCGAGTTTACTTGTGGAGTATGAAAAATAGCTCAACAGCAGCTCTTTGCACGTGGGATTTTTATAAATCCCAAGCTTCAGCTTAAGTGACTCGACCGGTGCCTTCCAGCATCAGTTTCTAGAGCTTTCCTGGTGTCTGCTCGATGTCCAGAGGCAGCGTGTCCAAATCCCTATCCGAGAGTAAGTCCTTTTTGAACTATGAAGGGAGAGGGTGGGTGTTCAAATCTGCAATGTGTACGCATTTGCTTAATGCCTCCACGTGCGATGTTGAGTTCTTACTTGCATCTGACTGGTCCTCCCCAGCCAGCCTCAAGAACCTCTGCTTTACCCTCTTAGAAGAGGGTACTTTTGGTTTCCTGCCTGGGTATAAAAGGGGCGATAATTTTGGTTGCATGGAGGGCACATCATAGTCTGACTTTTCAGACTTTTAAATCTAACCTGTTTTGGCACCACTTCAACACTTGTTTTCAGTTTTGATCGTCATTAGTGTCGGTATGAACTGTTGGCTCCTTAGTTTTCCCTGGTGCTGCCTGAGGGCTCAGGCTTTTCATTTTGCTGAATTATTTACTATCTTGTCTGTTCTCCAGCTTCTAAAATGTTGTTGCCGTTATCTCTTCTTCCTTTCTCCTTAATCTTGTGGGTGTATGTCTTTTGCTTCCTGCCCCCGCCCCCTACCCCCCCCCCCCGCCAATTTTGTGGAGTTTCTGTGGGAGAGGCAAGGCTAAGAAATTTATTCTGTCCTTTGTTTTTGAAAACTTGTTTTTTAGAGCCTATCAACTTAGTCAAGTGGCTTTTATCTTTAAAATTTACACATTTTCTATGCTCTGTGGTATTTCTCTTGGCTCCCATTTCAGATCTTCATAGTCTATGTAAACAGGATCCTACTCCCAAGAACCTTCTCCTTTAAATCCATTCTGCACAACCGCCGCTAGGCTACCTGACCAACACACAGTGCTCAGACAGCCTACTAGTTCTAAATAGGCCGGGCATCTCTGACAATCTGAACATTGGAAATCTCAAGAATTTCAAGCACCATGTCTTAGATTTTGAAGTATTTCAGATTTCTGGATCAGGAATGATCAACCAGTGAAGTCTACACAAATATTCCAAATTTCAAGAAACTCTGAAACCTAAAACACTTCTGGTTGGTCCTAAGCACTTCAGATAATGATCCTCAAGTTTGTACTAATGAAGCATGGGTGGGTCACTCTCGCATTTGAGGTTGGGCACTAAATTCCTTGAGATTTCTCCAACATTAAGATTTACCTTTGAGCTTCTCTTCACTTTTGTCCTTGGTCCCAGTCACACCTTCTTTCTTACATACTTCTGTCACTTCACCTTAGTAATTAACGTCCAACCTGACACCTTCACTCTCAGTGCCTTGTAACTGTGGTTTTCTATCTTCACTGCAAAAGCCTTCCCTGATCTCCTCCATCGAGTCTATTTTGTCTCCTCTCAAGGCCATGGAACTCTGACCATCTTCCGCTCACGAGCTCTGACAATGATCAGGTACCCGCCCTCCCAACTTGGCCACTCTGTGATCTCAGTTTCTTTAAGGCTCAGTTTCCTCACCTGTAAAATACCGATAATACCAACACCCACTTCACTCCTGTGGATATGAAACCAGATGACACGTCAAGCACAGTGCCTGACACACAGGGAAAGCTCTACCTGCTTTTCTGCTGCTGGTTCCCATCACTGTTTGCCTTCATGGGAGGGACTATGCCCCCTGGAGTCACGGCCGGGATTTCTTCCCCATGTTGTATGCTCAGTTCATAACTGCTGAGCTAAACAAATCGGATCATCCTATCACATGGCCAAGATAACAATGGCGGGTGTAGGGGCACCAGATCCTGTCTTTGCAGACCTCCCTTGCAACTATTCAGCTCCACTGCTGTCATGCAAAAGCAGCCATAAGTAAGTACTACTTTGGTGAATAGGTATATGGCCCCATTTCAACGAAGCTTTATTTCTAGAGGCAGGGAATGGACCAGATTTGCTCCACAGACCACACAGGTCACTGCCCACGACTCAGCAACAAATGAGCCAGCAACATTTTAAAAAACTAACTTCCACTCATCAGTTAACACATCTGTTTAGACACACTAGTTTCTTTTTGCTACCTGGGATGGTTAATTTCATTAGTTAACTTGGCCAGGCCATGCTACCTATACATCTGGTCCAAAGTCCACCAAGAGAGTGTGCATGCTGTGAATTAGTACCCAATATATGGTGTGGTTTCTCCCTTGACCAGTATTCATTCACAGGATGAGGAATCAAGGGGTGGAAACGAGAGTGGCATCCCTCTTGGTTACCCAGTTTCATCTCCATGATCTATTAGAGGAGACCTTTTCATTTGGGGGATAGAGCTATTGCTCAGGAAGGTCTCAAATGATCTCCCCACTTTAGCCTCCCAGTAGCTGGGACTAGATGTTCACAACAAGACATACAGTTCTACTAGCAGAATTTCTGATTCCCATTCCTGTGACTTTATGCTGTTAGTTTCAAATGCAGGATGATTGTGGGAGGAGAAAAAAATGCTTCCATAGGTTTGCCATCTGGACACTGGGGTCCTCATGCCTCATAGGCCTGCAAGGGAGGAAGTCACTGCGTTGGCCCAGTGACAGTCTAACAAGGGGAAGCTGGACGGTTACTCCTCAGCAAAGGAGTGTCTGGATATAAGGAATATCTTAAGGTGTCTCTGGGTTACTCTGTCCTGCAATTACAGTTGATGGAAAACCACCACCCAGTTCAGGCTAGATGAATGTCTCAGGAAGAAAGAGGTAGAATACCTCACCAGGTTAACAACAAAAACACCACAAAAAATAAACATGACCAGGTGAGGAGCTTATTGGAGGCAAAGGGAAAAAAAATTAGTGGAAGAAAGAAGTTATGAATAGCAGCTATGACCATGTGACCAGTTTCAGAAACAAGGGCCATGATTGTCATGAGCATTTATATTCTAGAATATGTGTGTATATGTGCAAATATCTTTTTCTTATCACATTGTGTATCAATAGGATGTATTAACTTATATCACAGCATTGAAATATGGTGAACTTTAACATGACAGCATTTAAATTATAGCATATGGAGGAGAAAAATAAATATTACTTTGCATCCTTTTCTGGGGAAGGTGTCCGTGCATTTTAACATGGGGGTAGCAGCATTGCATCAGGTGGAGGTATGGCCTTATGATTGTTTCCATTTGGAGATTAAGTTCAGGAGATTAAATGTGTATGGGTGCCAAGTTGAAAAGGGGTAGACTGTGATGGGTAATTTTATATATCAATTCAACTAGGACAAAGTACTCAGATATTTGATCTCACATTATTCTAAGATTATTTGATCTACACATTTCTGTGTAGGTATTTAGATGAGATTAACAGACTTTGAGTAAAGCAGATTACCCTCCCGCCTGGGGTGGGCCTCATCTGGTCAGTTGAAGGATTAGTAGCAAAACACATAGACCTGCTTTGATAAAAAGGGAATTCTGCCAGGAGACTGCCTTTGGCTTACCCTGAAGATTCTGGGCTTGTACCTCCATAATCTCATGAACTGATCTTATAAATCTCAATCAAAATCTGTCTCCCCACTACACACACACCCACACACACAGCCTATTTTTTTTTTTTTTTGGTCTCTGGAGAACACTAACATGCAATCTTTTTTTCTTCTAGTACTGAGGATTGAACCCAGGGCCTTTGTATGTGCTAGGCAAGCACTCTACCCCTGAGCTACAACTCCAGGTGCCTAAAATACAGCCTTTACTGGAATTCTACATTTGTACTTTGCATTTGTGGGTGATAGAATCCCTTATGACTAAATGTATCTTTAGTCAAGGAAACAATCACTAATCTATTCCCACTGATTAAAACAAATCAACTTGAAAATGTATTCTGGTGAGAAGTAAGAGCAGAAATCATGGCAGAGGAACCTTTGGCAGTAGAGTCCACTTTCCCTGGAAATATTCAGCCCTTGGTTACACTAGTCACAGGTGCTGTGCTCTCATTTTAAGGGGAGAAAGCCTAGGCATTTGAAACCACAATATCTAACATTTAAAGAAACTAAGTATGGGGTATCCATAGGATGTATTTTTCAGTAACACTGAGCAAGGTCTTTCTTTAGTTAGGATCTTAAATTGGCCTCAACTTAATTTTCTTTGGAATCTGCCAAACTGCATTATAAAGGACACAGCTGTTGACTGAGAAGAGCTGGCTCATAAAGAAAAGCAATTCTAATTTTCATGGGTTTTTTCCCTGCCAGGCTCTGATCAATAGAACTGGCTTACAGAGAGAGATTCGGCTTAGAGAGACTTCAGGCCTCAACAATGTTATGTGAAATACTTTCCTAAGCAGCTGTCCATGGCGGCTTTCTCAAAGGTCAGTCATGATTTAATGAACTCTTCCATCCTTCTACCAAAGACAGCAACACACAGGAGGGATTCATCTATTTCCAACTGATGAAGACATTGTACTCCGTGAGACAACGCAACAGAATTAGCTTGGCTGGGCTCCACATCCTCCCTCCAGAGACACCTGGCTTCCTGGGTAGTAGTGAAGAAAGCTCTTTCACGTGCTCCATCCCAGACGGCGCAAATTAACCCCAGGCTTTTCAGTCTCTGATGGGCTGGGGATGAAGCTCAGTGATAGAGTGCTTATTTAGCAGGTGCCAGGCCCTGGGTTCAACCCCTAAGTCCTGCAAAACCAAACCAAATGCCCTCTCCCGACAGTCTCTGGTGCTTTCTATGTCCCTGCTAGACTGGAATCCTCTTCACCACTCCAACTACCTGGCTAAGACCTGGGCAGCCTTCCTTGATAACCCCGCTTAAGTATCCCCGCGAGTCCACCTGGTCTTCCATGTTGTGTGTTACCTTTGAACAGCTGCTGCACTCAATTGTCTCTAAGGCACACACTGCATCTATTAATAGTGACAGCAGCAGCCACCACTTACTGAGTGCTTAAGAACTGGCCTCCTGTTCCAAGTACTTTACATGAGGCAAAGTTTAAACGTCCGTATGACCCTAGTACCAATACCTGCCTGTAAAAACTTAAGGGTTAGAAAATTAACTTTCCCAAGGTCATACTGAGCAGGACGTGGAAGCTCAGTTAGAATCCAGGTCTGGTTCCATATGATCTGCCTCCCGTCTCTGCAGTACACACCTGACAGCTGGGCTCATCTTAACATCTCTGTGTGCAGTGCTAGGCTGAGCATTTAGATAGCGTCCCCTGATGGTCATGCAAAGGGGCTTAAAGTTTAGCACATGAAAACCAGGCAGAGGGAACAAGGAGGGTTGATTGTAATTTGTCTATGAAATGCTGATTAGGGAATTATAGCCTATTAAGTATAATATCTCAAAAAACCCTCAGAGCATGTCACATATGACTAAATTAGCAAGGAATTTTATGCCAAGGAAGAATTATACATAAACACAGATAACCAGACAGATAATATTCTATACACATCTGAACTTCATAGACTTCTAATGATTAGTCATGAATAGAAAGATGAGGCCATCTTTTACATTACATACCTTCTGGGATACACTGTCCAAGAACAAATTTATACCCTTTGCAGCACTTTTTCCTAAGAGATAAACAAACAAAAAGGCATTTTAATTATGGTGACTATGACATTAAAAATAAAATTGTTTTTGGTTATTGTTTTTGAGTGAAAGAACTTATGCCCAGGAAAAACTAAGCAATAAAGTAGAGATGGGATACTTTTAAGTCATTTAAAATTAAATAGAAAAATATTGCAGAACAGGACCCAGGATCTGACACAAAACACATGAAATCAACCCTCTGAATGCTGTGAAGTAATGAGCTGAGATGTCAAGGTACTTACACTATAAAAAGAACGATGACAACTTGAGCTGCCACCTATCACGAGCTAGAGATTTCACTTTTAATCTAACCAAGTAAATTGCACAATAAAGGAAAAATATCCTCTCCAAGAACAAGATCACAAAGATGCAGGGTCTCCACCACATGTGCAATGTGTGACCTTCTCAAAAGGGAAAACTATCAGTGAGTCAAACTCCCAGAAAACCCACCATATTGGAATGATCAGACATTAAGCTAGCTATTAAACTAATTAACTATGTTCAGTGACATAAATAAAAATATAATGAATTTAAAAAGCAGGAAATCTCAGAAGAGAAACTATTAAAAGAATATGGAATTCCTGGAACTGTAAAATGTATCTGAAATTTTTTTTGGAAAAATCTGATAAGGTTGAAGAATGGAGACACGATCCAAGAAAGAACTAGTAAGTTTGGAAGCAAATTGATGGAAATGATCCAATATCAAGCAAAAAAAAAATTAGATATCTTTTATAAATGTAGACTCAGGGTCATGTGGGGCCAGTATCGGAGGTCTAACATAACCATAACCAATGGTTATGTTTGGAATTCCAAAAGGAGAGCAATGAATGGAGTGGAACAAAGTGCTTTAAAAAAAAAAAAAACCTGAAAAATTCCCAAATTTTGTCTGAGACAAATTTGCAAATTAAAGTTTAGCAGATACTCAATAGGTTAAACACATTCTCATAAACACATACACAAAATCCCTAAGGACATCATAGTCATACTGCTCAAAACAAAACTTTGAAGATGGGAGAATTATGTATCATTCAGAGAAAGTATAATTTTAATGACAATGAGCTTCTCATTAAAAAAAGAAAGTATTGGTAGCCAGAAGAAAGTGGTATGGCATTTAAGTGCTGAGAAGACAAACCTGTCTTTATATCCAGTGAAAATATCCTTTAAGAATGAAGATGAACTAGACATTTCAGATAAAAGGAAACTAAGAATTCATTACCAGATCTGCAAGACAAGGAATGCTAAGGAAAGTTCTTCAGGCCAAACAAATTATACTTGAGGGATACGAGTTACAGGAAGGACTGCAGAACATCACAAGTGGTAGATATCTGGATATATGTAGAAGATTGTTTTTGCTCTTCATTTTTATGAAGTATTATAATATCTTGCAAACTTTATAATGTAGATGCAATAAAAATCATAACTAGGGGGAAACGGACCTATATGGTTACAAGTTTCTACATTTTACCTGAAAAACATCAACATTTCCACTGGAACTGGAGCAAACGTCCCTGTGCGTCTCCATGGCTCCTGCTACTTTCCCTTCCTGTCTCTCCCAGATGGAGTCCATGTGAACTTTCCTTCACCACTTCCAACATCACACAGAGGCAGAGTTACCATATTCAAGTCATCTTCAAAACTCAAGAATACACCCCAAGTTACCTTGAGTTGACATAATAGCTAAATTTTATAAAAAACTGCTTCTTTGTAATAGAAGTCAGATGCAAGGTTACTGCTATAGCAATGTCAGTCTCACTTTTGTCTGGACACACTGTCTAGGTGGAAAAGAAGCTCAGTTAAATATAGTCTAGCAGCTGGGCATGTAGTTGGCATGCAGCATACAGACCACTGGAATGAATATACTACATATATGGTGTAGTGAAGAAAGATGCACAAACAACTGATTTGGGAAATTAGGTATGTCTGCAGATATACTGAAGCCAGTTCTCACCTTCAACAAATGGCCAGAATGCTCAACCAGGTTACATTAGGACTTCTATTTAAGAATTTTTAATACACCTAATTTTTCCTGACTTTTTAATCAGTTTTTTTTTTTTTTTTTACTTTTGCAAATTTGCATAATTATTGGTCAAATCAATTTGTATCAACTGGTGACTTACCTTTCATAGGAGAAACTTAATCTTACTACACAAAATTAAATCCATAATTTATAAATCTTAAGAAAAATGAAATTTACAAGCATTATATTTTCCAGGAGAATTTTGCAGTCCAATTGGGTACAGCTACACCACTCCATTCCCCTCTGCAGCATTTCCCACATGCAGCCCAGCTGTGGGAGAGATCTTACTTCAAAAGCAGAGAAGAGTTTTCAAAAGGAAAACAGTGGCATTTGGGATGCTCTCAAAACACGGTTGACTGAAACAGTTAAGGTTCCCCTTCCCCCACCCATACATTTGCCTGCCTATACTCATCTTCCAGTATAGATTTATCTGAATCTTTCTTCAGCATATGTATCCATCCAACTTACTCATATTAATGACATGTGGCAAGGTCCAGAATTTAGGCATAATTTCCTAACATCTCCAACTAAAATATAATCTTACATGCCCAAGGGGGTTATAAATGATGCTGATGATTTGCAACAGACGTGGAGAATCTACCTTTACAATTCATGGGACTCAAACTCAGCCTAGTTTTCCATGGTTTTTAAAAAAGCTCCTAGCAACCAAAAATTGCTAGATTTTTAATGAATGCTCTATAAAGCCAGTTATTACCTACTGTATTACTTGGGGCTGTCCTGTAGAAAGCTCCAAGAGGAAGAGCAACACACTAGATGGTCAGAAACTCAAGTTATCCATGAAAAATTCAGGCACGAAACACATGTGTTTTTGATTCTGAAATCTCACACCACATTTAAGCATGTGGTTGTATTTGCCCGTTTCTATTTAAAAGCTGCAGCTAAGGTACAGTGTCAGATGTTTAAAGGCATTTTAAAGTTTATAACAACTGGATACGACCCTTATACTTTCCACGTCCCAACGTTGAACTTGGGCACTGTGACTCTTGAGCATTTTGAGGACTTGAAATTGCCCACACAGTGGTACCAGAAGCAACCTGCCATTTGCTTTTTGTGAAATTAAACTACAGTGATATGATCTGACATGCTTCTAAAAGGCTACAGAGCTCTGTCTGAAAATGGAACTTTCTGGATGGGCAGGTATCATTTACCTGCCTGGCTAAGAATGAACTTCCCCTTCGGATTTTCTCTTAATTGCACACTGACCCAGCTCTCTGCTCAAGAGAGGAGCAAGATTCCAGTTCAACCTCCTGCCTTCCTCAGAGTTCCTGGGAACGCAGTATTCTGCATGTTAAACATCCAATCATAAATCGCCTTTTAAATAAATAATGAAATACAAGAAAGTCTAAAAAATAAACACTGGCTGCATGTTATACCATTTCAAGGATGACTTACAACATTATTTACGTATAACAAAGTTGAGACGGCCAAAAGGAAATCTTGTCATGCAAGCCAGGGCACTTGTTAGATCTCAGTACAAACACTGCTGTGCAATTTTTATCTTCAAGGAAAACAAACGAAGATGAGGAACACTTATGAGGACTCTGGGAGGCAGTGGTTCTTACCATGCGTCACGTGTTGGGGCTGGCTTTTCCAAATGCAAATGTTTCTCTCATTTCTTGGCAAGAGAGGCTGCGATTAGATGGCTGTTACATAGAAAGGATGACTCTGGTAATTTAGAAAGCCTGGGGAGGCTTCCCTTGGGTGCCCCTGAGAACTGTCAGGAGTTTTAAAAAAAGAAGGGGGGAGGTGGGGGCAGCCAGAAATACAGCCCATCCGCAAGGTGTGATAGTGAGCTTTGGGAGGGGAAAAACTAGAAAAATAAAGATATCATCATACTGGATCACTGGAGTCTAGAGAAGATTTTTTTTTTTTTTTTTTAAATCTGCCTACAGAATTAGAGGACTAGCAGGGACCGAAAGCCAAGTGAGTCAGTAGATAAACTCCTGCCACAACAGAAATTTTCCTAAGCTCTCCCTGGATTCCATTACATAACTGCCTACTTATGCACCTAGGTTTCAGATTGTTTTAAAAAACAAGAACTGTATTTGAGAGAATTTTATAGCTCTTGGTGCCAAGCCATTTGCTGGTTTGGGGGCCCAGCAAATCTGGTTTTATAATTCTGTCTCTAACATTTAACAAGCTGGGAATATGACCTTAGGCTTGCATGACCTTAGGCTTGCTTCTTAAATTTGCCGAGTTTCAGACACGTGGATAAAACATGGATAAATAATATTTGTCTTATAGGAACGCTGCAGGGATGAGAAAGAATATGATGAAGGAGCCTAGCGTGGGCCTGGCTTGGGTAAGAATCGTTCTAGCTGCAGCTTTTTGCAGACAGCAAAAGCAATTTTTTTTTTTTTTTTTTTAAGTAACCTGCTCTTTTTTTTTTTTTTTTAAGTCAACTTCAAATAATAATAAACTCACAAACGACATGCTCCATGGATTTAGGAAATTAACCCTAAAACACAATATATGAATGTGGCAATGAAATGTTGGGAGTGGTTGAAATGTGGATGAAAAGTTGGGAGTGGTTTTGCAGAGAGGAGTAACTTCAAACCTAGGTGCCTCCATAGATGGTTACCATGGAGAAAGAAGCTAAGCCAGATAGCAAAGAAAGTGAAGGCCAGAAGTCAGTGAGGTGACCTGAAAATCTGATTAAAAGCTAGACTTCAGTTCCCTCTCCAGTTCCAAGCAATTGGCCAAACATTCTTTGCCTACTAATGCAATCAAATTGTTTTGGAAAATTGTACCCCGTTCCAGGCTATGGGACACCAAGCCAGAGCATAGACACACAGAATTTCCAGATATTGTTAAAGAAATCCTTCAGTTTAGTATATCATTCCAATAACAGGCTCTCCTGAATAGCTTTTAAAAAAGCAAGAGATTAGAATTGAGTAACCAAGAAAGCCCTTAACGAGCATGAGACTTAAAAGTGAGAAAATC